GCAACTTGGATGGTGCGTTCGGGGTATTCGCCTGCTTGCCAAGTGCTCTAAACTCAAAACTACCCGCTCAAACAATTGCTCAAACAAAAATAAAAAAACAAAAAACTCAAAACAACAAAAGAGGCAAGTTCCCATAAGCAATAAGTACATAATGCGACCAGATCCGGGAGGCGTTCGGCTTGCGAAGCTGAAGATCTGGTTATCCTCAGCTTCGCTCGGTCGGGCCAGCTTTAAACCGATGCTGATGTAAGTACTGCTCCAGCACTGGATGAAAGTCCGTATGAGGCGACGAAAAAACCTGCAAAGGTAACGAATCGCAGTGGAGCCGTGCGGGCGTCCTGTTCCTGGCCGCCTGGGACGCTGTCACCAGGCGGCTGGGACGCCGTTGTCATGCGGCCCTGAGACGGCGCGTCCCGGCTGCTGTCGGGCCGAATCAGAGGCCCGAACACGCCGGCGCCGGCTGCAGCTGAACGGGCCGGCGCGAGAGGCTGGGCCGCCGCCCGACCCCGGGGAGCCGCCGGGCGGCGGCGCCGAGCCGGACGCACTGGCGCTGCGTGGAGCCTGACGTGCTGGCGCTGCGTGGAGCCGGACGTGCTGGCGATGCGTCAGCGAGCCCGCCCACGCGTGTCGGGCTCTGTTGACAGTCTGGCGATGCGCGGTCGCGGCCCACTGCACGCAAGTTGACAGAAATAAACCTTACATTAATTAAAGCTTGGTAATAGGCTGCCCCTGGGGGCTGCCAAGGTCTGACAATTTTTGACTGACAGATTTGAGGTTGTTGGAATGTTCAGGGTTTTGGCGGCTGTGAGCCGCGCTGTGCGTGGGTCCGCCGAATTGCCTGGGCGGGGAAGGGGGCTTTGCAGGGGAAATAGTGGCGTCAACCCCCAAAGCACGTGAAAGCGCGTTTCTCCCAAACTGCACCCTATTTTACCCCAGACTTGGGATTGTATCCTCAACTGGAGGTCCGGCCCCCAACTGAATTGGGAACTCACCTCTGGAAAACGTCCCATGGTAAGCACGTTTTTCGCATGCATCGTTGGGGTGAGTGGTGAGAGGAAATTTCCCCGCCCTGAAAAGCTCGCACCAATGTCAATAAAACTGCAAATGTAAGCTTACTGCCAGAAGGGTGTCGCCGGGTGGACTTGCTGGGGAAATAGGGGAGTGCATTCAGTGACATATGAAGGGCGGCAAGCTTAATTGCTTAATTAACACGCCTACAAGCTTATCGACAGTGTGTGTGCTGTGGAGCCGCAACGGGGTGTGTGACTTGCAGCATTGTCACATTGCAATGCTGTCAAAATACCATCCGTGCCACGACTCTGGAACAGAGCTCCCGATATCAGCGGGACCGAGGTCGCGACTGACTGCGGTGGAGCGGCTCGGGTCTGGCTGGGGCAAGGACAGCTGACGTCGGCCCCGGTTATTTAGCGCCGTAATAAGATAAGGGATGATGATGTGCCGCGTGGCTGCTGCTCGATAAGACCAGCAATCTTGAAAGGGGAGGAGTTTCTGACGTCCGGCGCTCTGTTACTGGACCTTGCGCGTCGGCCTTCCCCAGCTACGATACGCCGTCCCTGTTGTTCGCGCGGCTGCTACGGAGAGACTGTCTCAATCTAGTCCTGTCCTGACGGGACAGTGTTCCGTCCTGCATCGACCAGGCGGGCGAACGATGCCTGTAGGCATCCGCACGGGGCATAATAGCCCTCCTGCTCCTCACACTCATAAATAATGGCATTATGCCGTACTGAGAATCGTCATTATGTAGGTTATACCACGACGGTGGCTTTCTTCTTCGAACGTATGTACCCATTAGCCGTTGTTAATCCAATGTATTACTGGACCGCCAGCGTGACGCAGATGTTCACACTCGCCGGCACGTTGCGCACGAGACTGCCTCCCCTCAGTGCCGGCAGTATTCATCTGTCCTCCGCGGGCAGAACTTGCGTTTTCCACCGAAGGTCCCGGTGGCCTCCCCTTTTCACATAATTCGAGGTTTATTGTACATACTTCGTCGTATCTCGTCTTGATCTCCGACGTTTCTCATCTAAAGTGCAAAGTCACCTGACATGCATTACTCTCCTCTGACCATGCATTACCACCCAGGACAACGTCCATTGCGCACTGTATATTCATGTTGGCCTCCTTTGATACAGGTGATTTCAGTCCATTGTTTTTGGACTGAAATTTGTAACTTATGCATTCGCCTGGGAGACAAATGTTACGGGTAGAAAATGTACAGCCACTCTGTATTTGTGGCAACCTGATATTGATAACCACACTCACCGGCCACTCGATGTCCTCGCGAGCGGTGCCCGTCGAACGGAGCGTATCCAGGCGTGGGATGTCGCTGCGCGGAGAGTAACGTTGGTCGTCTGTCGTCCTCAGCGTGGCCGCGTCGCTATGGGGCCAGCGCCTCGGTCTTCTTACCGGGCTCCGTTCTTCATAGAGCCAAGCCTAGACCCCAAACAGAGCCGAGGTCCCCGGACACCGGCGGCAATCAGAGCCGTCGTGGCCGACTTAAGCGGGTGGGGACGCACCTGCGCCCGCCCGGCTCGCTCCATTCCTCAGGCGCCGGCGGCAATCAGGGCGGTCGTGGCCGGCTCAGGCGGGAGGGGATGCCCTGCGGCCGGCACACAGCGCACCGTGGGATGTGCACTCTCGAAACACTGTAATTAAGCGGCTGCGGACGAGACGCAGAGCAGCGGCGGCTGCTGAATGCTGCAGTCGAAGCTACGCAAGTTGATAAGTGCATTTGCGAGGAACATTATGCATAAAGATGAGAGCATTAATAGCATTTCCCTCCTAGAATAAACAGGAGGATGAAGAGATAGTTGTGTTATTTCGGTTACATGCCTGTATCGAAACGGCCTGTTTGCATAAATTGGTAGACTGTTAAACTTACACGGAGGGCTTTGTTTGAAATCAAGCATTTGCAGTTATTGTTTTCTGAGTGACGTATAATAGATGTTAGGAACCTGTACTAATGCGTTACATTTTCCATACCTTGTTTTGAAATCGGTGGCTCGGTCATTTAGCGTCATCTTTGCACTCTAATGTTTGGCTCAAACTTTAATTCGCTGGTAGAGTTCCTTTGACTGTCGTGGGATGTCCCTGCGTGATAGGATTAACTTATTTTCTGAAATATAATGAAGGCCTGTTGAGGCTGCGTAGGTCAACACGTGAATAGTTAGCGACCTCTGTCGCCTTTGTTACTTCCACTGAGCGGATCCACAATGGACCCTTTGTGTTCTGCTTGTTACCCAGCCGTTGGTGTTTGGCGTGGGCTGGTAGTTCCCACTCTAATCTGATCGGATCGCTCCGGGCGTAAAAATCTTGTGTCCCGGATGGGCCGATGCCAGAGGGCTGCGTTCAGTGGTCCAGACCCTGCGACGTCAGAGGCCCTTGGTTCAGCCTATAACTATTCACGTGTTGTCAGGGGCCCTTGGTGTTTAATTAATATGTCGCCCAAAATTGTTCCTGGTTTCAAAAAGTGTCTCGCCAAACGTGTGCCGTCGAGGCAAAGAGCCATTTGTCACTTGATACTCCCACTGCCAGGTTTCCGCCGTTAAGAAGGTGGTCGCTATTGTCAGCGAACCGCCTGATGGGATAGGCCGTTCGGCAAACCTGTGGGGGATGTTACGTAAGCCTCTCCGGCTTCACGCGTCCGCAGCGGATGAATAGCTCATTCTGTTTGTACGCGCGGAGCGATGGGCAGGGAACCCTGACTGAATGTCGTGTAGAGCTTGTCCGTTTATAGTGTGGCACCGGTTCAGATCCGGCAGTGTCCGTTTCAGAGACACACTGCATAGCTCTGTGTATATGGCCGAGTGTCATCTGAGGCGTTTTGTTGCAATTTTTCCCCAAACGTCACGGTACGTAAAGAAGACAGATACCCTGGTAAATTGCGTTGTTGCTTTACATCATGCTGTCTGGAGGGAAAACAATGAGCTCAATAATCCAAGCCTCACACATTAGCGAATCTTATTTACTGTCAAATACAATAGCTGTAGATTGCGACCCGAGATAGGCCGTATCACCTTTACTAATGACTTAAGCAGTCAAATGCATTAGTAAAAAGCTGACTGCCGCGCGGCCATGCTGTATAAGCGCAGCGTTTGCGTAAGTACTTCTCAGTGGTATTCGTGGTGCAGATTTTCGGTGTTTCCATGTAAATGATCGAAGGTGATCTCAATAGCTGTTTTTGCTGGGACGTTTGTGAAAGGACTGGGCGTCAAAGGAGACTTAGGAGGCTACCCTTAGGAGGCTGCGACAAAGGAGGCTGCCCATCATCGAATTTGTTTATATTAGAGATGAATTGCCGATCGTCAGCATTCAGAGTAGGACGGAAATGCCTTGATCCTCTTTGATAGGCGTTAGTGACGTAAATGGGTACTTTCAATGATGAGTTGACACTCCCGTTGAAAAGGTCCGTACTAATAAGTTGCACAACGCAAATTGTATTTGCTTGATATTTGTTTGAAAATTATGAACTTGCACACATCCGTTTTCATCTCGACACCATATGTGGACGTCCACTCAAACGCTTTGGAAATGGTAATGACTTCTTAAAAATGCATTATTTTACCTTACCAGTCCTTCACATCATGACTACGACGTTTGACGACGATGTATTCGAACGTAATCCATCAGCCCGCTGAGCGTAACGAGGAATAGAAAACATCTGCAGAATAGAATCTTTAACGCAGAACGTACTGTCATATATAACTAGCGATGACGAAAGAAAACCGTGCGTCAAAAAGAAATATGTATACATATGCATATATATATACAATTTACACCGTTTGTATTTATATGCCCATATGTGAATGGACACATGTTTGCATCCAGACACATGTCTCCATGTTTCCGTGCTGAGTTAAGCCTCGTGCATCCCTGGCTGGACGTCTTGACGACACCGCGCACTGGATGTGCCGTGCGTCGGCTCGGCGTCCGTCCACGCGTCTGGCTTCTGACCGGCGGCCGCGCCTGTCTGCCGCCAGATGTCGGAGCGGGCTGAGGAGCACGCCGTGCAGCAGGCCATGGCCGACATCGCCTGGCTCACTGAGCACGAGGGCAAGCTGCGCATCGACCTGTGACCTGACCCCGGCTGAACTGCGCCCCGCCCGCGGACGGGCGGCCGGGCTGTGGCGGCGGTGACGCCTGCGATCCTAGCTGGCAGCGCGGCCCGCCGCAGAGCGCTGGCGTCGGCGGGCTCTGCCACCGCCAGGTGGCCGGGTGACATGTTCTGACACGGGGCACGTCGCCCCCCGGCGAAGTGCGCGTCGCCCGAGATGCGCCATCTTCTGTCAAAGTCGGCGAGGGCGGAGCCGGTGGTTATTGTCAGACTCACTGCCCGACTTGCGTTCGTGTTTCGTGGATGGAGAGCAATTGTCTGGTGTTTCCTGTGAGCATCAGTGTGTATGTTGCTGAACTATGTTTTGCAGGTTGGCGCAGACGGTTGGAATATACATGAAATGTTTGTGCATTTTTGCCGACGCTGTCGTGGGTGTTGTGGTGTACCCACGCCGATAACATGAGCTAGGCGTTTGGTGATACGTAGACACCCGCCATGTCAATGAAACGTAAGAAAAAGAGCTCGGTGAACTTGTCGGGAAGCTCAAGGAGCGGCTGGAGCAGATTTAGTTGAAATGCGCCATTTGTTCACCGGCAAAACAACCCACAATTGAATTTTCATTAGTTTCAAGGATGTTGATGCGATAAATAGCCTATCATTCGTCGGGTTTGGGGCTGCGTGAGCGAAATAAAAAACGAAGCCGTTTGTGACCAATCATGGCCTACTTTCAAATACCAGAGCGCTGAACCCGTGGTCATGTGGTCAAGTGTCTATCTTCTTGCCGACATACTTGCGTATTATACTCTTCCGGCCTTTGCTTGCCGGGATGAGGCATTGTTTCTTCCAAACTTCCCCAAACTGGCGGATCGATAGTTTGCGCTGGAATATCCAATGTTTTGTACAGGAGGAGGCCACGGGTGGTCAAGGGTACCTAAGTACGAATAGTATCAAACATGCACCAAACTGACCTGGTCTCTACTATCTCGCTTTCTTTTCCGCCGATCAGTGATCAGTTCCCAGCGCACCTTTTTTCTTAACGCCAAAAGGTTAGCCCCGGCGACCTCATTATCTTTACCGCATGCCCCGCCGGCGCCCAACAAATATAGCATTCGCAATGTTCCTTGGTCGTTAACGACCACGTTGCCACAGCGCTGCCGGCCGCCGTTTCTGGCACGTACCCAGTGCACCGTCTGTGGCAAACGGTCCGATGGCGCACCCGCACCCTCTTCTCTCCTGTCTTGTGTGCGGCCGCCGCCTTCCCACTAACCGCCTCCTGAGTGCTGTGGAGTAGGCGCACCTACGCCCTCTCCTCCCTGTCTCCTGTGTCAGCACCGTCAGTCCGTCTTCTTCCGAGTTCTCCTGCTGTCTATATCTCCTTACGTTCACCGGCTACCCAGATCTCTTCGCTAGTGTCTGGTGCTGAGGCTTCATCTTCACTTATGAAGCATGTTCTCTCCGCTGCCACCGTCCTCCCCATTGTGCCGACCGATTACCATCATGAGCTGGTCGTCCCACTCGTGCTCCTGCACTGGTGCCGCTCGTTCCATCCTCTTGCCGCGTGTCGTGTCGCGGGTCTCGCACGTCCGGAGCTACGCCGTCCACCCCCGCTGCTTGCGGTGGCCCAACTCGCGTTTCGGCGCGTAGCGATCTCTACGCGTCGCGCTGCCCGCGAGAGTCTTGCATCTCCGCCCTGTCGCCGACGCTGAACCGGTGTGAGATCCCCAGGCTCGCTCCGGCCGCCGCCGGCATCGTCGTCGCACACGCGCACCTGGCGCCGGTACGGCATGTTGGCTGGAACCGAGCTTAACTCGACGTCACCTGTGACGTCACGTAGATGTACATATACCGCCTATGGGGCTATGGCGTAGATGTGCACATACCGCCTATATGGTGCACAGCCGGTAAGTGTGGGCCCCGATCGTTTCATGATGCGGTAATGTTTCTAGGTGACGTTTTTGCCATTCGACGCCAGAGCATAGCTGAAGTCAAGATAAAGATAAACTCAGGCATAGGTCGCAGATTCATGCAATCGTCTGCTGAAGATAAATCCCCGCCTTAGAGTGTCATCGTTATGGTCGAAGCAGCCGCTCGACACAGTCCGTCCTCCGCCCAACGTGCCTTCCTCACACCGGGCCAAGACCCCGCCAATCCCCTCCTTCCGCGAGGTCCTGGCACTCCTCTGTCCTTCGACCAATCCCGCATTCCTCTGGCTTGCTGGATTACACACGCAACGAATATAACACACAGTCGTGATAAACATTGGGACAGGGAACCGCGCGGTGTCACGTGTACCATTGCACACCCCACGTGCCACGAGAACACGAGCAGTCAAGACGGCTTTAACTATTTTCAACAGCGTCACGTTTTATGCCACGTTTCGGCCGCCAGAGTCGGTGGAAAGGGGAACCCAACTCCAAAGCGTCGACCGTTGACAAAGCGTCGACATCGTTTGCAGTTCGCGTGGCCAGGCGGGTTTGTGCGGCGTGCAGCGGCGAGAGTAGCCGTCGAGCGGGCCGGACATCGGCATTTCGGAAAACGGTGCCGAGTGCACCGCGCTGTAGCAGGGCCTGCCACCAGGATCACGGCAAACTTAACATCGCCGCATAGCCGATCCGTCGCCTGCATTTGCCGCGCATTTATTTATCAATCCGCGCGCTACTCCGTTCTCACATTGAGTTTACATGGGTCGCTACAGTTTCACTCGCTGCCTTGATGATTGCCACTGGTCGATCTCACAGTCACTGTCACCAAGTATCTTAAGGGAAATGTTTCACATCTGAAGATGTCGAACCAAGCATCAGACATGGTGAAATAGGCTCACTTATAAGTATTAGCATGATATTAAGTGGAGACTGTTCTAGACAACACAAGTGCTATGTTTACTAAATACCCTCTTCAATACGTCATTGTTTGATGACGTCGTCGTGCCTTGCTCGACATGGATTGAGAGCCGATTGGTGGCCGTTTGATATCGAAATAGTGCTCACAAACGCGAGTCACAAACGGCTCGACAATTATATTCTTATTGGTCTTGATCGCCGAATGGCCAACGGAATGGAAGGATTTGAATGAGTTTATTACGGCTTAATGGATGCCTGGGTAATCTTGAAATGGTTTCCCCGAAATGGTCTGCACAGTTCCGCGGGCGTGCAGCTCAGAAACTAGAGGGGCTTAGGTCTTAAAAAGGGCATGGCCGTGAACGGCACCGAATGATCTTCAAGGTGGTTGTTTCAGATCAAAACCCTTACAAACGTGGCCTCTGAACACAACAACGCAAAACGCTTGCGTTATGTTCGTGTGTGGACAAGCAGCAGTCTATTCGGTAGTTTGATTCGATTTGCCCGACCCGGAAGACGGAGCACGACGGCCAGGTCGGTCGGTTTGAGCGGGCGACCCTGGAGCGGCCCGTTCACGAGGCTCAGGATCGTACCCGCCACAGTACTATGCGCACTGTGGAGTCAAGCTGGGCTCAAAATCGTACCACGATGGACCAGCTTGACGTGTTCCTCCCCAGCTAGCCCAGCTGGGGAAGGGTGGTCTTCTGGTTACAAGACCACTGGACATGCGATCAAAAGATCTTGGCTCAAATCCCAGCAACTCCCAGGAAGGCATTTGGTCTGTGACGCGTAGGTGGCTGAAAGTCAAACACCACTGGGTACTTCTCAGGACTCGACAACATGTAACGACGGCCAAAGAGTTAACTGGCCGAAACGCTTTGTAAAAACGAACACACCAGACAGAGGGATAGTCTAACAGTTATCTCACACGGTACGGGTCATCTAGCTTTTCTGCTTAGCCGTCTGTGTTTCATGAATTGCCTCCCATGCACGCCTCCCCCTCCCCTGGCAGTGCGCCGTCCGTCTTTTCTCGGCCAGGCGTTGTCACTGGCGAGTGGTCCGTCCGGGCGCCGTGTCACTGGTGAACGGTGCGTGTGGGTGCCGTGTCACTAGCGAGCGGTGCGTCTGGGTGCCGTGTCACTGGCGAACGGTGCGTGTGGGTGCCGTGTCACTGGCAAGTGGTGCGTCCGGGCGCCGTGTCACTGGTGAGCGGTGCGTCTTGGCGCCGTGTCACTAGTGAGCGGTGTGTGTGGGTGCCGTGTCACTGGCAAGTGGTGCGTCCGGGCGCCGTGTCACTGGTGAGCGGTGCGTCTGGGCGTCGTGTCACTGGCAAGTGGTGCGTCCGGGCGCCGTGTCACTGGCGAGCGGTGCGTCTGGGCGCCGTGTCACTGGCGAGCGGTGCGTGTGGGTGCCGTGTCACTGGCAAGTGGTGCGTCCGGGCGCCGTGTCACTGGTGAGCGGTGCGTCTGGGCGCCGTGTCACTGGTGAGCGGTGCGTCTGGGTGCCGTGTCACTGGCAAGTGGTGCGTCCGGGCGCCGTGTCACTGGCAAGTGATGCGTCTGGGTGCCATGTCACTGGTGAGCGGTGCGTGTGGGTGCCGTGTCACAGGCAAGAGGTGCGTCCAGGCGCCGTGTCACTGGCAAGTGATGCGTCTGGGTGCCGTGTCACTGGTGAGCGGTGCGTGTGGGTGCCGTGTCACTGGCAAGTGGTGCGTGTGGGTGCCGTGTCACTGGCAAGTGATGCGTCTGGGTGCCGTGTCACTGGCGAGCGGTGCGTGTGGGTGCCGTGTCACTAGCAAGTGGTGCGTCCGGGCGCCGTGTCAGTGGTGAGCGGTGCGTCTGGGCGCCGTGTCACTGGTGAACGGTGCGTGTGGGTGCCGTGTCACTGGCAAGTGGTGCGTCCGGACGCCGTGTCACTGGCAAGTGATGCGTCCGGGCGCCGTGTCAGTGGTGAGCGGTGCGTGTGGGTGCCGTGTCACTGGTGAGCGGTGCGCGTGGGTGCCGTGTCACTGGTGAGCGGTGCGTCCGGGTGCCGTGTCACTGGTGAGCGGTTCGTGTGGGCGCCGTGTCACTGGCGAACGGTGCGTGTGGGTGCCGTGTCACTGGCAAGTGGTGCGTCCGGGCGCCGTGTCACTGGTGAGCGGTGCGTCTGGGCGCCGTGTCACTGGCGAACGGTGCGTGTGGGTACCGTGTCACTGGCAAGTGATGCGTCTGGGCGCCGTGTCAGTGGTGAGCGGTGCGTGTGGGTGCCGTGT